AAAACCGATTCATCTTTCAAGACTCAGATCAAATGCCACCTCTCCCAGGAAGTCTTTCCTGCGCCTTTCTTTGGTATTTAGCTGCACTTTTCTTGTGGCACCTCCTGCTTATTTAGGAAGCGTCCAAGCGCCCGGCCAGCCAAAAAGTTCCCTGGACCGAGAGGGACATATTCCTCCACCGTCCACCCTAATCCCTAGCCCTCCCGCGGGAATCGAACATGCGCAGTAAATCCCGTGGGATCACTATCTGAATCGGTAATTCTTCCCGGAAAGGCAAGGCACAACTCTCTCGGATGCCCTTTGCAGTTGTGAAACAAAGAGCCGGCAACGGGCCACACACGTCCCAAAGTCCAAGGGAGGGAGCTTGGAGGCAGGCAGGAGCCGCTCAGAGCCTGGAAACCAACTAGCCTGTGAACAAAGACCCCACGCGAGGAAGCAACGCGAAAGGCCCTTCAGCCTCCCGGCCCGCTCCACCCCCTGATATCAGCCTCGCCCTCCGATTGGCTGCTCCTCTCACCCATCCCGACAATGGCTGTTGCCCACGTGACCCGCTGGCGGCCGTAGGATTGGTTGCTCCATGAGGGCTTTACTGGGCTAGCGGACGCCGGCGGGGCAACAAGGCCGAGACCAGCGAGAAGCGGGAAGCGGGAAGCGGGACCGGGACCGGGTGTAGCCGGGGACAAAAAGGCCGAGGGTCGGCTGCTATCAGTGTTTGCAGGCCTCCTGAGATAGGGCGAAGGAGCTTGAGGAGTTCAGAAAGCGGGCTGTGGACTCCTGTCTGGGACTTTGGTTTATGCCCTGGCTTCGGCCTTACTCGTATTTCCCCGCAAGAACGGCTCCTCTCAGTCTTTGCTGAAGTTGGGGGTTGGACTTTATTATCATTATTTTGTTGAGGGTCCACTGTATGTAAGCACTGGTTGTCCTGCGCCGGGCGCTGTGGAGACAGCCATGAGGTAGAAGCTTGGGGAGGGAGGGCTTAGAGATGCTTGAGGTATGTTACTTACCCACCTGCAATGTTGGAGGTAAGTTGGCTTTATTTTTGTGCTGATATTATAGTCCAGGAAGGTAAGGTTTAGGAGGGAGGGTCGTCCATTGGCTGAATTAAACGTTCATTTATTGACCTTCGTCCTCAGTACCAGGCACCGTTCTGAGTGTAATGGATGCAAAGGCCAGTAAGACACGGCCGGGGTTCTGTAGGAACTCAGTGTCGTGGGGCTGGTGGGCTAGACGGGATGTGGGGGATGTGCATGGGTGAATAAGTGACATGTGATGCGTGCTGTGGTGGGGAGACGGGGTGTGGGAGTCAGAAGAGAGGACGACGGGGGGGTTAGAGACCACTCTACTGAGAAGGCGACGTTTGAGTAGGGTTATGTAATTTAGGCGTTCTCCAGATTGCAAGGTTTGGGGAAGGCACTCCAGATGGAGCAAAGTGTGCTGAGGAAGAGAACTAGGGATGTGTGCTTGCTGTGTATGGTGGGAGCTCACTTGGAGCTCTGCTTTTAGACAGTTTCATGCTTTTAGACAAAGTTAAGTTTCTCTCAGCCTCTGTTTTCCTTTTTTTTAAAGATTTTATTTATTTATTTGACAGAGAGCACAAGCAGGGGGAAGGCAGGGAGAGGGAGAAGCAGGCGCCCACTGAGCAGAGAGCCCAACGTGGGACTCGATCCCAGGATCCTGGGATCATGACCTGAGCCGAAGGCAGACGCTTAACCGTCTGAGCCACCCAGGTGCCCCTGTTTTCCTCATTTATAACATGTACTTCACCTGTAGAGCGTGATGAGCTAACGGATCAGTCATAACCCCTGTAAAACAGGCACTTTGTTAGTTTCTCTCTTTTTATGGAGTTTAGTTGCTGAATGGCCAACACAGAACAACAGCTGCCAGTTTTTAACTAAGGAGTATCAATCTATTGACATTTATAGATGGCTGAAAGAAGCACATGCTGTCTCCAGAATTGTTACTTAAATACAGACAATACCATGCTGATAGGCTAGGGAGGGTGACATTGTGACCTAAGTACTTTTCCATGTTGGTGATAGCATACCACCAGAGAGTGTCATTTAGAATAAATGAAATGCAGTCAACTTTCTTATTCAGAAATCGATTATCCAGGTTGTGAATTATCTAGACTTTTGCATTACTTTTTTTTTTTTAAGATTTAACATAACCTCCACACCCAACTTGGGGATCAAACTCACAGCCCTAAGATCAAGAGCCCCATGCTCCACTGACTGAGCCAGCCAGGTGCCCCTGCATTGCTTCTGTTATGTTGCCAATGGTCTGGAGAAAAATGAAAGTAAACCTCATATTTAGCTGGTAGTGGAAAAATATAAATCTGGTATTCAGACCTCTGTTCTCTTTCCAGCTCTACTGTAAATTTGCTGTGGACCTTTGGCAACACATAGCCTCTCTGGGTCTAGCACTCTTAAAGATAGAAGATTCCAGTATAAAAACTTTATGACTATACTTTTTATCTTTATTGGCAGAATTGTAAATCAAATTGTATATTAAATGAACAGGAGTTTACTTTATAATGGAATTTAGTAGAAAATCTTTTCTAAAGCTTTTGCTTTAGAATTAGACTATAAATCCCTTCACAGACATCTTTGGAATTTTGTCATGCATGATGTTGGGATCATTAAAAAAAGAAGTTTTTGAACCATAAATGCTTCTCCATTCCTGTATTTCAAAAACAAGCTCCTCCAAACCAAAACTTGTTCAAGTTTGCTTTTTTGTACAGCCGAGTCTTTAAAGCAAGCATAGTGGAAAATGAACTTTTTGAAAGTCCATGGTTGAAACTTAACTATATAGAAGCCTTTATTTTTTTCATAGGTTAACCTAAGTCTTCTTGGATGTGAAAATGTTGGACTGCGCTTAGGTATATAAGGATGTGAAATGCAATGATGCGATGATGAGTGAAGTATAGTCTGACCTGGTATTGCCATTGCCTCAGTTCTGGCTCTGACCAGGGTATGATTCCTTAATCTTCTCTCTGAGCTGATTCTGGTTGTGGTTTTTCCAGATTGGAATGTTCTCATCTATTTGGATACTGATTTTATTATGTATAAGAGTGTTTCTTTTATAGTCTTTTGAGTTGCTGATACTTTCATGTTTTCCTTCTTAGGTTGAGGTGAAAAATCTGACTTTGATATCTTCGTGGAGGACTACCTTATTTCAATCCTGAATGTGGTTCAGTTTTCTTATTGACTTATTACTGTATTAAAAATGTTTGTTTAATTAACTATGGTGTTTTGGTAAAATCTTGCAATTTAACAAGAACTTTAACAAATATCCATTATATTCTTCTTATGGTACAGAAAAATGTTAATATTTTCAAATCCATAGGTTATTCCATTTCAAAGTTTAATTTTATCAACTTTACGCTATCAGAAAATATGCTTTCAATTGCTAAATGAGTTAAAGTATTAGAAAACACCTGTCTCAGCAGAGGCACTTATTTTCATCCTTCCTCTACCCATATATTTTCACCAACCTGACAATCCAGTGGCATGAATTTTACTACATAAGCAACTTAAATGTTTCTGTACTATTTCTAATACAGGGTCTTTCACACAAAGCTGAATTCTTGCTGTTGCAGTAGAGGTTTTTTTCTCCAAGTATTGGATTAGCAAAAAAAAAAAAGCAAAATGTCAATACAAAAATACCTCAAAGTCAAAGGTGGTCTGAATGAAAAATGTACTTTAAACACCTCAAGTAATTTTTTTTTAAGATTTATTTATTAGAGAGAGAGTGAGGGCAAACCGGGGGAGGGGCAGAGGGAGAGAGAGAATCCCAGGCCGACTCCACGCTGAGCGGTCGAGCCCACCGTGTGGCGTGATCTCATGACCCTGAGATCATGACCTGAGCCAAAACCAAGGTTGGACACTGCTTAACCAACTGAGCCACCCAGGCACCTCCACCTCAAGTAATCTTTGTTTCCACTTAATCATGACAACTTGGAATGACTCTTTGCCAAAAACATTTATTCTTAAAATTTACTTAAGCGTTTCATAGAAACTTAGTAATAGCCAGAATAATTCGTGCCCATTTAGCAAACTCTTAACAGCAAGAAGAGCTTATCAAGATTCTTTTGCACAAAGTTAAATCAGTATATTATGTCATCTCTTGCTTATTCGTTTTGCTTTCACACTGAAATCTTCAGACTGCTCTATATATACGTTCAACCCCTATTTTTCTTTAACCAGTTGCCCAAGAAAAGATAAGTATGGCTCATAAAGGAATCTTACTTAAAAGCTGATACACTATAGCAGATGCTACTTAACAAGTGGCTCACAGTATATGGAAGGTGCTTTGTTTTTCTAAACTGTTTCTAAGTATTTCTGTAAAGAGCAGGTCCATATTTCACATTGTTTGCAAACTGATAAAGTTCTTCCTCATAGGCAGATAAATGCTTTCTTTTCTCAAGAAAAGGGCTGCTTCCCCATCACCCACTTTTATAAGGTCTAACTTGGGTTTTTCCTGAGAGCTATACCTCTTGTTCTTCAAGGAAAAGCTTCTGTAGTATCCTATTTCATCCACTTCCTCTTCACTGACCTTCATGCCCCCTGTCAATCCTGATTCTCTTATTCTAACCAGCTTGCTAAACTCTTAAGTAGGAGTCTAGAGAGCAAGTTAAAAGGTTTAGATCAATGGATATATCCTCTTAAAGAATCCATATACAGCTGACCCTTGAACACAGATTTGAATTGTGTGGGTCCACTTATATATGGATTTTTTTTTACAGTACAGTACTATAAATGTATTTTCTGTTACGACTTTAATTTTTCTTTAGCTTTACTGCAAGAATACAGTATATAATACATCTAACATACAGAATATGTGTTAACTGATTGTTGATGTTAGCAGTAAGGCTTCCGGTCAATAGTAGGCTATTAGTAGTTAAGTTTTGGGGGAGTCAAAAGTTATATGTGAATTTTCTACTGGGGGGGTGGTGTTGGCACCGTTAACACACATGTCATTCAAGGTCAACTCTAGTTGTGTAAAGTTCATATAATTACGAACTGGGGATGAGAAGACTCAAATAGTGCCATGTACTGTGCTGAAAATCAGTTTCTCAGCCTTATAGTGCAATAATTTTGTTGTGAGATAAAAATGCTAATCCCTTTCAGTTCTCAGGGGAGTACAGTTTAATTAGATGTTGCACTTCTGTTGGATAACCTGTTATGGGACAAGCTTGGTGACTCCTTACATAATTAAATACACAGCGATAACAAAACACATAGCCAGAGGTGGCAAGAACAGTATCATTCACCCGGGTTTTGCGACACAATGGGCACACAGTCTTCATTTTGGGTAACAGAGGAGAATCGGAATTGTAATCTAGGTGTACAGGTGGTGGTGGAGTAGGCAGGGCAGTCAGTGATTTGATGGTTTCTTGATTTTCAGATGAGTACCACCACTCAAGGAACTGCAAAAAGAATACTCCCACAGAAAGGCCAGTAGAGAGGGATAAGGCAGCACCTCCCAAAGCTTTCTTCAGAGCTGATTTTATCTTCTCACCAACACTGGTAGGGGAATAGAACAAGGAGGCAAAGGAGAAACTGTTTATTTAGGTATGATCACAGAATGACTAATACAAATGTACCTCTTAAACTTTTCATCAGAATCACTGATTCAGTTTGGAGACTGAGTAGTTGCTAGATTGGCACTGTCTCCTTTAGTATCTATTCTAAACTATTTCCTTTTTCTGACCTACAGTATTTTGGGAGTATAGGAGCTAAACTTTGTATTTAATGACGAGGGTTTTGTTTTTGCGTTTTGAGAAAGAAACTAGTGAGACGTTGATAAATGTGTGTTTGTGTGTGTAAGATAGTAAGTCCAGAAAGAGACAACTCACTTAACAAAAAATAGCAATATTGAGGAATATATTTTTGAACTTGTAGAACACAAACACTAACTAGAAAGTCTTGAGAACTGTTGATCTGGCTCGAATCTCAGTTCTGCCACCTTCTAGCTGTGTGGTCTTGGCAAGGTACTTAGCTATTAGGTCCTAGTTTCCTCAGGTGTTAAACGAGGTAATGAATTTATTTCACTGAGTTGTGAGGAGGATTAAGATTATGTATGTAAAGCAGACAGCACAGGGCCTGGCACACAGCAAGCATGCATAAAAATGTAGCTAGTGTGATAAGGAAGGTGACCAGGGTGGCAACTCTTGTTTTACGGACACAAGAATTTTTCTGTGATTTATGAAATACCTCAAAGTACACTGAGGAAGGTGAGTTTCATAAAATTAGGTTAAGATTTTAGAATTTCTTTGTGAAAGATTTTGGAAAATGTTAAAGCCTTACCTCCTGGCTGGTTGCTGCATCATGCTGGCTTCAGCTGCTTTGTGCTCCAGAGCTTGTATATCCTGAATTGTAAGTCGACCTAGCCGAACTCCAGCCAGCCTCAGCAATGGTGAGTGATGCTGAGCCCTTCCTAGGATGTATCGAAGTTGTTGTACAAAAAACCAGCCTTCCCATGCCATGTTAACAAATGGGTAGGCTGCCAGGAAGGCTCTATAAAACTGTTTCCAGCGGGAAGAAGGGGGGTGGATAGAATATTCATCCTCTTCTCTCAGGCTAGAAACCAGCTTCTCCAGCTTCACTTTCAGGTAGGGAAGAAGAACCAGGAGCATAATTGACTTCCAAAGCTGCTTCTTTGGGAGACCAGCACTGGCCAATCTCTCAGGCTTGTGTGTGTCCCCCATTACAATGCGCTTTAAGCCATAAAAATTTTCAGAAAATGAGGCACTGGTTTTAGACAGATAATGCTGCTGGAGCAAAAGATCTAGCAGGGTGAAGATTTCATCAAACCACCTCCAAAAGAAGCCATAGTGGGCAGGATTTGATTCTGCGAGAACCTAAAGCAGAGTAAATTAATAAATGAATTTCATTCCATTTAAAAATTACTATGCATTGTATTCACATTTCCTTTTTTTTCCCCTGAATTCTGATACATTCGGTTTAAACTAGTCACTTCTTTTGGGGGTCTGCCCTGTCCTCCCTGAAGTGCTGGGTATTCAGTACAGGGCTTTACACATAACAGGGACTCAATAACTTAAATCATAGGATATGAATTATACGCTAATTGGCAATTTCAAAACCTAGGCAACCAAGTAAACTCAAATTATTGGTTTGGTTTTGACCCAGTCGTCCCTAAAACCTTTCCAAGAATTAATACCTTACCTTGACCACATGCTGAAGAGCAGGTCTCACGGCTGTCATTAAACTGTCCTGTGCTACCACCTCAAAGATGGATGGCTGGTCATCCGCCACAGAAGCAGTTGTGATGTGAGCCCCATGTTCAGCCATAGTTTCCTGCGTGCACTGGGTTTCGCTTTGCCCACAAACTCTTTAGTAAGCATGAACTTGTTTTATCAAACGGGTGCTCAGTCTTAAAGGTAATCTTTCTGCAAGAGACCCAAAACTCCTCTTTTACAGAACTGGGGGCGGGGGGGCGGGGGGTGTCTCAAATTAAGGCGGTTAAGAACGAAATTAAGGCAGACGTGGCAGAAATTAAGGTGAAAGTTGTAATGTGGGGTAGGGGTGACTTATCAAATGCACCTGCGAGGGCAGAGCATGCCTATGGGGCACAGGTATGGGCGAAGGAGTGCTCCCTCTGGAGCTGTAGTCCGGGAGGCTACGAATCGGGCTCTCGATCGTGAGGGCTTAAAAGCCAGCCACCTCTGAGGTGTTAGAGGTGCCAGTGGGGACCCGGTACGCGAGGACTGGCTCCAGCTGTTGGCTGACAAGTGTCCGCGCCTATCTTTGCGCGCGGACCCCGAGCGAGGCGTGAAGGACCCACGACGCCACGTTTGAAGAGAGGCCTCCGGTTTATGACAGAAGCCGCACCCGGAAATAGAAGCGGCCGGGGATTGGGACGGGCGACGGAGGGGAGGCGCTCTAGCCCCGAACGTGGCCGGGGAACCGGAACTAGCGAACTCTATGATCCCAGTGGGACTTCCGCTTCCGCTGAAATAAGCCACTGGGGGCTTGGCTTAAAGTGTAAACGTGTGGTCGTTTGTTACGCTTAGCTTAGCTGGTTTTGCTTCGCGTCCTCTGTGGGAAGCCACAACTCTGAATCTCCCTCTGCAGAGGTCTTTTTGGCAAGGTGTTTGGGGCGCCGCGGCGACGTCTGACCCCCGGAGCCAAGAGTTGGGGCCTGCTGCTGAGGCCTGTGTTCCCTTGGACGATTTAGTTAGGGGTCGGGGGGACAAAAGGCAATACGGAAGTACAGAAGTTCTCTCTGTGCGTACGGCGGGGGTGGTGGTTAATTTATATTCTGCCGCCTTTCAGGAAGGATTTGGAGCGACGCAGCCGGGGATAGAAGCCTTTAGCTTTGTTGCCAATTATTAAAAATATTAAAAAAGGTTCCTGCAGTTCGTTAGAACTGGGAACGATGACTTTCCGTGACTTTCCATTCTAGCTGGTAGATTAACTGTCTTCTACGTGTTAGTTATGTTCAATCATAACTAGGCACTTGGCGCACTCGGTGAAATGGTTCCTGCTCTCGTACACGTTTGAATGTGTCATAGCGATATGAATACATTGCCAAGAAGGAGGGATCTTGAGTTCTAGCTAGAATGAACAGGGGACGCTTGGCAGATGGTACTTTTCACTGTTTGTATACGAAAATTAACGTAATTTACGGTTTGCAAAATGCTTTTACATTGTGTGCGACTTTGCCTCGTTTGAGTTGCTTATACAGGTTTATTGAATTTCGATGAGTTAAAGTTCAACCATTCCTCTTTATCTCCAGCCCCTCCCCACTGCTGTGCTAAATGGATAGGAATAAAAGATATTCACTGCCTTACAGGACCTTATGGTATAAAGACAATTGGTTTGCATAATGAGAACCCTCAAAAACAAAGTTTGGGTTTGTTTCAATAAAATCTTGCAAGTTAATCTTACAGCTCTAAACGTGTTTTTTACTCTACCAAATAACCTGCCAGCGAAAATCACGTTGATAGAAGACTTACCTTACAGGGGGCGCCTGGTGGCTCAGTCGTTGAGCGTCTGCCTTCGGTTCAGGTCATGATCCCAGGATTCTGGGATCGAGTCCCACATTGGGCTCCCTGCTCGGCGGGAAGCCTGCTTCTCCCTCTCCCACTCTCCCTGCTTGTGTTCTCTCTCTCGCTGTCTCTGTGTTAAAAAATAAATTTAAAAAAATCTTTAAAAAAATAAAAGTTAAAAAAAAAGACTTTTACCTTACAAAATTTCAAGGACTAGAGATAATGTATCTATATAAAGTAGCTGCTGTATGGATAATGGTTGGGAGGAAAGTTGAGGTTTCTGGTAGCGCAGGCAATAGGTGGTGGTGGTTTAGATTAATGAGGTGAAACGGGATTGGATGGATTAAAGATTTATTTTGAAGGTAGATTGACAACTTGAAAATGGTTTGGATGTGACCATTAAGGGAGAGAGAAATCAAGAATGTCCAAGTTTCTGGCTTGAACAATTTAGTGTAATTTATTGAGATAATCACACTTGTAGCAAATGCTATATAGTCATACTATGTGCAGCCATAGTTCTAAGTGCTTTACGTATTCCCTTCATCCTTGTAACAATATTATGATTGGATATAAATATTTCCCCATTTTACAGATGAGAAAACTAAAGAGCATAGAGAAGGGAGAAACTGAGGGAAGGATAGGTTTGGACTTAGGCATTGAGGAGCTGTTAAAAGGTTTTGAATAGGAGAGGGATATGGATCAAAGTCCTTTAGGGGCGCCTGGGTGGCTCAGTTGTTAAGCGTCTGCCTTCAGCTCAGGTCATGATCCCAGGGTCCTGGGATCGAGCCCCGCATCAGGCTGCCTGCTCCATGGGAAGACTGCTTCTCCCTCTCCCACTCCCCCTGCTTGTGTTCCCTCTCTCGCTGTCTCTATCAAATAAATAAAATCTTAAGAAAAAAGTCCTTTAATAAAGATTTTTCTGGTGGCATCTCTTTTACAAAATGCACCTCTGATTCCTGGAAGTTATAACTGGAACCAGGTTTTTCAACACCCCTCCTCCCTCATCTCATGATTTGTTTAATTTGGGTGGGCCATAAATACAGAATTTTCCATCAGTGTGGTTAGTAATTTGGTGGTGAAGTTGGGAATAGGTCAAGGCTAGAGATAGAGATTTAGGAGTCCTATGGGTAGGAACGATCATTGAACTCATGGTGTTGCTAAAAAGTCTAAAAATGTATGAGCATAGAACTTAAAAAAAAATCCTCGCTATTTTCTCTCTCAAATATCCTATATGCTTTTTTCAGTCATATTTTCTTATGGAGTTATCCATAACTCCTGTTTTCATTTTCTCACCTCCCATTCATCCTCAAACTTCTGCAGCATGGCTTTTGCCTTCATATCTCTACTGATGGTCCCAGCAAAGACATCAAAGACTATTTATTTACTTATAATAAGTAGGGGGAGAGAGAGTCTTAAGCAGGCTCCATGCCCTGTGCGGAGCCAGGCGGGGCTCGATCTCACAACCGTGAGATCATGACCTGAGCTGTAATCAAGAGTTGGTCCCTTAACCGACTGAGCCGCCCAGGCACCCTGACATCAAAGACCTTTATGTTGCTAAATCCTTGGACATTTTTCAGCCCTCCCTCCTCCTCTCTATAGCAACTGTAATTGTTGACCATTCATACATTTATGCGTTCAACAAATTTTGGGGAGGTGGGCTAGGTCTCAGAGATAGAGTGAACAGATTGGTGTAGTTCTTACTTTCATAGAACTCTAAAAACATACTTAAACATTATAACCACTTGCCTTTCCTTCTCCCTTTCTACTTTGTAGTCCCCTTTGCATTTTGGTTTCCTCAAGTTCTGCCTCAGGCTCTCTCGCTCTCCACATTTTTTTTTTTTTAAAGACTTAGTATTTTTAGAGCAGTTTTAGGTTCACAACAAAATCGAGGGAAAGGTACAGAGATTTCTAGGTCTTGGTTTCCAAAAGTAACTTTTGTGTAAGCACTCCTATTATAAGCCGGATGCTTTACCTACATTATCCCATTTAAACTTCACAAGCCAGAGAGAGTTAGATCATTGGCTTCATTTCACAGATAAGACTTAAGGTTAAGGAGATGTTAAGTGATTTCCCAGTCATATTCAAGGCAGGGATTTGGACTCAGATCTGATGCCGTCTCAACCTGTTTTCCTTGCACCACTTTCCTCTGGTCCCACTGACCATGGATAGTCCTGGGCTGGATCACCATTGTCCACAGTCCTGAACTGGCCTGCAAAATTAGCTGAGCTTTTACATTTTTTTTAATAAAAGGAACAGGATATTTCAACCTCTCTCTGTGAGAGTTCTAAGGAACTCCTGTGCGAGGAAACAAATACAGAGAACGTCAGTTTGTTTAATATATCCCTCTGCATAGCCAGTGAACTTCCTCTTGGGTCCAGTCGCCAGCTTCCAAGCAAAAAAACAAAAAAACAAAAAACCAACCTGTCCGTCTCCAAGGCGGCAGAGATAGCCGCCTTTCTAGTTCTCCCGCGCCCGGGAATGACGCGACGCGGCGAGGTTCTCTGACGTCAGAGTTTCCTGTCCACCATCTTTGTCCCTGGCAAAGTGGGTTATGCGCAGTGGCTTAGACCTGGAGGAGTCGTGACGTGCAGGAAACCATTACAACACCACTCGGGCCGTGCTCTCTGGCTGCTGCCGCCACCCCCACCCTTGCCTCCGGTGAGTTCAAGGCGGCTAACTTCGGGGTGTGTCCCTCATTGATGGGAAGGGGACCCCAGGTTGAGTTGGAGGTTGGTGGGGGGAAGAAGAAATCCTAGGAGCGTGACCGTTGAGGATGAAGTGAGCCGTCGGGTGTGACCGTTGTGAGGAAGAGGGTTGGAGAAAGGGACTCCACCGCTCTGGCGTGGCGAGGGAATTCTCGGGTGTGGCAGCTGGGAATTGGGGGGGCACCGGAGGTAAGATATGTTCGAGGTCGGGGGTTGGGGCCAGAGGCCAGGGGTGTGGCCAGTAGAGGCTGGAGGCCAAACGGGAGAACCTTCCTTCCCCGCTTGGCGTCGTTCATTCAAGAGGCTGGGACATGTCCAGCTAAGCAGAAGGGCAAAGGGATTCCCCCTCAGGTTTGTCCATTGATGGGCAAAACTCGCCCGTCTCCCGTAATTTAAGGTTAAGCGACACCTCTCTCCCACCTCGTAGTGGAAGAATATATCCCTAGAATCTCGACCACCCGGGGCAGAGGAGGAATTCCTGACACTTGGGGGAAGGGAAAAGAAACCTTCAGACCCGATGTTGGGGGGGGGAGGGGGAAGCAAGTAGGGGTAAATCTTAGCCCCGAATTTTTTCTTTCTGGGCTTAGCAGTAATGATCTGGTTTGAGAAAGGCTGTAGACTAAACCAGAGGTAAAGAAACTGGAATGTCCTGTTATTTCCATATTCTTTGAATCCAAATAATTCCTGCTGTTTGTTTTCAGAGCAGTCTTCTACCTGGGGGGAGGCTTTTATTGAACTCACCTGGCTGTTTCATTATGAAGCAGTGTGGATAAAGTGTTGATGCTTCATTAAACTTTGATTTTTAAAAGAAGTGTGTTTAAAATGCCAGATGCTGTTATGATAATCATTGTGATTTTAAAAAAAAGTAAAATGCAGTAAGTTTAGAAAAGGCGGGACGACCAAGAAAGTGGTCTGAATGAGGAACAATTTAAATGATTAATGACCTTTCTGGTATGCCTGTATTGCTTAGCCTCAGGGTACACTTACAAAGTAATAATAGAAAGCAGCAGATGAAGGAGATGCGGCTGTGCAAGAAAACGTGTAACACATTCCAATGATGACTAAGCGTGGTGGTAAGGTGAGAACTGTTTGCAGGTATTTTAACAGTTTAAACTCCCAAGGAAGCAGAAAGGATAGTGTGTTCTGCAAACAGCCTCACTGAAAGTTGAGTGGTAAAATTAACACAAAGCTAACATTCTGTGAGTTAAGAGACTCAAGAAAGCCCGGTTCTTCATCTCCCCCGCCTTAAACATCCATATTTTAAAATATTACATTTTAGGGGTGCCTGGGTGGCTCAGTGGGTTGGGCGTCTGACTTGGACTCGGGTTATGGTCTCGGGGTCCTGGGATAGAGCCCCGTGTCTGGCTCCATGGTCAGCGGGAGTTTGCTTGTCCCTGTGCTCCTTCCCCCGCTCATTTTCTCTCTCTCGCTCAATAAAATCTTTTTTAAAAAATTGGATGTAAAACTTTGAACTTCTTACTGTATAATATATTTTTTTAAGATTTTATTTATTCATGAGAGACGGAGGGAGAGAGAGAGAGAGAGAGAGAAAAGCAGAGGGAGAAGCAGGCTCCCGGCTGAGCAGGGAGCCCAATGCGGGACTCGATCCCAGGACCCTGGGATCATGACCTGAGCCGAAGGCAGACACTTAACCATCTGAGCCACCCAGGCGCCCCTTACTGTATAATATGAACAAATTACTTTGTAGTCTGACATGAATAGAAATCACAGGTGTGGGGGCACCTGGGTGGCTTAGTCATTTGAGCCTCCAACTCTTGATTTCTGCTCAGATCATGATCCTCAGGGTCATGGGGTGGAGCCCCATGTTGGGCTCTGAGCTCAGCACAGTGTCTGCTTGTCCCTCTCCCTCTGCTGCTCCTCGCCACACGCTCTCTCTAAAATAAGTAAAATCTTAAAAAAAAATCACAGGTGTATCTGTTGCAATTAGGTGTCTTGTGATTTCTTATAAGCTAAATGATAATGGAAGACACTATTTGCATTGAAATATCTAATTATGGAAATATTTGAAGGGCGCCTGGGTGGCTCAGTCAGTTAAGTGTCTGCCTTCAGCTCAGGTCATGATCTAAGGGTCCTGGGATCAAGCCCCGTGTGGGGCTCCCTGCTCAGCCGGGAGCCTGCTTCTCCCTCTCCTGCTCCCCCTGCTTGTGCACGTGCTGTCAAATAAAATCTTAAAAAAAAAAAAAAAAATTGAAATCTCAGTGCCTCACCCTTTTAATAAAAGATGTCTGGCCTTTCTGCTCTATAATTGGGTTAACTCTAGCCAGTTTTTCGCTATGAGCACCAAACTGTGTAAAGCCAACTTTGTATGAAAAGAAGGGATTTAGTGGCCTCACCAAGTCTAATTTATCTGCCATTTCCCAGAGAGCCATTTGAAATTGAGACCCTATTAATTTTTTTTTGGCCTTATTTTCTTTAGGGGCACTGTAAGGAGGGAGGAATAGAAGAGAAGGGTCTTTCACAACCTATATTTGGTAGAAACTAGGTTATGTTAAATCCAGATATATCATCCTGTGCAGGGAGGATTTCTCTGAAAAAGGCAGTGACATCGCACACCGGCCGAGGACAGGTAAGAGTGCGTGCGTGCTTCATCGTTCAGCAGTATTCCGAGGCCACACTGTAGGTCCTAGAACAGTCAGGTGGAAAGGTGGTGTGAGTTCAAGCTCCATGATGGCTTTACTTTTTCCTGGGGTTCTCCTGTAGGAACAAAAAGAAAAATTTTTTCCAGGAGGAGCTTGGTTTTTGAGGCTCTTCAGCGAATATTTGACTTATTTTTTTCAGCTCTATCTTGGCTGCTTTTCCTTTGGCTTATAATGCAGGCCACAGTTTTCACCATCCTGTATTTTGGAGACCCTGGTTATGTTCATCTTTGGCATGTGATTATCTCATTAAAAATACAAATGTAATTTTTTAAAAGATTATTTGAGAGAGAGAGCACGAGTAGGGGGAAGGGGCAGAGGGAGAATGAGACACAGACTCCCCGCTGAGCAGGGAGCCCTACGCAGGGCTCCATCCAGGACCCTGGGATCATGACCTGAAGCGAAGGCAGACGCTTAACTGAGCCACCCAGGCACCCCCTATGTAATTTTTTGAAGTGTAATTCACATAACATAAAATTAACCATTTTAAAGTTAACAGTTCAGTTACATTTCGCACATTTACAGTGTTGTGCAACTACCGCCTCTTCCCACTTGTTTTTGTTTAGACTATTTTCATTTTTCTTAGAATTTTCTTTCGGTTTAAGTCAGGAACTGACTTAATACAGTGTTTCCCTGTCAATCCGGGTAAGGGATACTTTAATACTATTGTTTATAACAGTGGAAGCTAAGAATGATAGGTTTTTCCCTTTCTTTAAGAGCAGGGATTCTTGGGGCGCCTGGGTGGCTCAGTCGTTGGGCATCTGCCTTTGGCTCGGGTCATGGTCCCAGGGTCCTGGGATCGACCCCCGCCTTGGGCTCCCTGCTTGGCGGGAAGCCTGCTTCTCCCTCTCCCCTTGCTTGTGTTCCTGCTCTCGCTCTCTCTCTCTCCGTCAAATAAATCCTTAAAAAAAAAAAAAAAAAAAGCAGGGATTCTTAATTTAGGAGCTAAGATTACTTGTCTCTCTTCCCTGAAATATTGTGGGTGGGTACATTAATCTTTAGTTAAGAACACAGTGCTCACAATGAATAGGACAGAAATACATTCCTCGACAATGAAGTTTAAGGGAGATAGTGAAATGTGTGGGTCACTAATAAAGGTAGAATTTAAGACTGGGTTAATTTTATGTTTAACAGACTGTGGTTTAGACTCCTGTTAATAATATGTATATATGTGTATGAGATCTTTAGCAAACAACAATTTTTGTGCCCTTTTTCAAAGAAACTGGGTGAAAAATTCCAAGCAGATTTTGTTTTTAAATCCTAAGTAAGTTTTAAGTTTTGAGGATTCTGTTGGATTTAAAATGGCATAATAACATCCTAGACAGACCATAATGGCCTTGAGCTATGGCTCTCCTGTCAGGTTCTAGTAATCATTTCTGTATACTGGTTTCTCTCTTTGTAAGTTCTTACATGATAACTTCAGATTTATTCCAGATCTTATACATGAAGGACTCCTTTCTTCAATTTGCCCATTTCACATTTAGCGTACATTGTGAATGGATTAAATGATTATAACATTCTTTGAATTTTTGCTAGAAAGGCATTATGAAAATATTGCATAAGGCAAGCCCCCTGTCACAGGCTAATTTTTAATTATAACAACTATCAAAACAGGAATTTCTGTATTCTATATTTGTGAGTTCCAGCTCACACCTTTAAAGAAGGTAATTCAGTGAAATTCTGGTACAACCTAAAGCATTCTTACATTAGGATCAGGACTGTAAATAGTAGCTACTTGGAAAGATCTCAGCTGAGTCTAATTTCCCTTAGGCTATCTAAGTAGCACATTGTAGAGATCAGATTTGAGCCAGGCTTGTTTCATTATTTCATGTTTATTTGGCTCTTTTTCCTTCTTCTAATTGCATTGATTTGTTTATTGCCTAGGTCTTTTCTCTCTGGTCCATATTTACTGTTGTTTGCCAAATGTATTATCGCTCATGTTGTTTTGGCCTGACAGTAATGAGCAGGCGCCAGGCATCAGTCCTAAATTTGGTAATAAGTATTGTTAATGAGGATGGTGAGGAAGAAGATACACATTTTTGAGTGCAGAAGGAATATTATTAAATGAAAATTTTAATACAGTTAAAGATATCAAGTACCTTGGACAAAGTCTTAAGAGTTTCTTAAATCAGAAAACATTGTCTCATTATTTGGGGGAGAAATGTGACCAGTCCATGCCATTTTTGTTTCACTACTGGAACCATGTGGCAGTTGGATTAATTCTCCAATTAACTTGAGGCTGGGATCCATGATCTTTTAAGTTTTAACGCCTGTTCTGATTCTCTTTTGTATGCAATGTGACGGAATAAATATCTTTTTTTTTGCCTTGTTTTTAACTGTAAAGTGATATTATTTATTCTTTGTGAATACTTTTGGGCTAAGTATAGAGTGTTGGAAATATGAAAACTATAATTAAAAAATCCACGTGCGAGGCATGTTTGCCTCTAGATATGTTGTGAAAGAATATTGTCCTATTAACGTAGGCTTTTTATTCTGAGAGAGATTCCTTTTTTCAAGAGTTTCATGTAATGGTGAATAGGTTGGCACAGTTGTTTTCTCTTTCAGCCTTACCATTGCTTCAGGATACATACTTTGGAATGACTTCATCTTGAGGTAGGGAGTAAATCAGATTTTCCTGAATAGAAAGTAATGGGGAAATCTTTCAAAACAAACTTTTTCTTATCTTAAATATTTGAGCACCTCATTGAAGATGTATTTGCAGAAATGTCTAGCTTTAGGTCTTGGAGGCTTTGAGGAGACAATTATGGATAAAATCACAAGGCCATAATAGATTATCAGTTCATTCCATTTAGCCTATGGATTTTGCCCCAGTTAGTTCCTTGAGGCAAGAGTTAACATTCTTAATTATTATCTTTGCATCTCTTGAATCACCAGTAATTGTGGTAAGGAAGAAAATATTCATTTTTTAGTACAGAAATTCTTATAAGTGTTCTTTAATCAAATGCCTTGCTGGACATCAATAATTTGGATAAAGGAATTTTTTTTCTCTTGTAGGTGCACATTAAAAATCCAAAACCATGACTGACTCCAAGTACTTCACAACCAATAAAAAAGGTAAGTACGAAAGCTTGATCAAAGGACTTTTGAGTTCTTTTGAGTTTCTTCAAAAGTCGTAGTGTAAGATTGTCCCACCTAGAATGTTCCTGACCTCTTCAGATATGCATATTGTGATTGGGGATCTATTATTTGTACAGAAAAGGGTATTTGAATAAATTATTAAAGGATAGGTTTGTAAAGATAGGGCTGTGATGCACATCATTTTGAGTTGAAGGTTCTGTTATGGTAAGAGGATGAAATCCAACTTTGATCATTGAAGATTGGTAGATGTGAGGAAGGCAGAAGAGGAAGAAGCACATTCATTCTCTTTTTTTAATTTGGAAATATTTTATAACAAAGAGTACTATTAAAGCAATACAGATCACGTAAAAAGTAAAAATGCAAGTTCTCTTTCTCCTTATTCCGGTTCCTGAGGTGAACTTGGGATATATCCTTAGTCTTTTTCTATGCATATAAATGCAAGTATTAATCCATACGATTTAACAGTTTTTTATCTTTAACAAAGAGAGGTCATGCAACAGTGCATAGAAACTTGATTTTTTTTTTAAAGATTTTATTTAAAGATTTTCTATCTCTGAGACACAGAGATAGAATGAGCATGAGCAGGGGGAGAGGCAGAGGGAGAGGGAGAAGCAGGCTCCCCGCTGAGCCAGGAGCCCAATGTGGGGCTCAATCCCAGGACCCTGGGATCATGACCTGAGCCGAAGGCAGACACTTAACCATCTGAGCCACCCAGGTGCCCCGAAACTTGATATTTTTATATCCCTTCATATAGATCTACCTCATTCTTTTGTTTGGGCATTGTCTAAATACATTCTTTGTACTTAAAACAGGGAACCTCTAGAGTCAAATCCATGATTTTTAGGTCACAGACTGTGGATTATTGAAAATAACTTTGAATTTATTAGCCCCATTGTCTTTGTAATCAGAAATATAATACTGTTTTATGGGGTGCCTGGGTGGCTCGGTTGGTTGAGGGTCTGACTCTTGATTTTGGCTCAGGTGATCTTGGGGTCATGAGATCAAGTCTGGTGTTGGGCTCTGCACTCAGCATGGAGTCTGCTTGAGTATTCTCTCCTTTCCCCCTTCCCTGTGTGCGTGCGCTCTCTCAAAATCTTTTTTTAAAAAAAGATAATACTCGTTTTTACATATGGCTGTGGGGCTAGGAACTAAGGATTCTTCTTGGGAAAGTCCAACCTCCTCATCTTTTATAAAATTGTTTCTAAATAACAGCTCATTTTTAGTGCTGTAGATGGCCCTCCTTTCAAAAAAGACCGGTTTTGCTCTTCTCAGCCTGTGGTGTCCTCAGCTGAGATTTACTTATTTCCAGGGTTAGAATTCTGTGCTTTGTATTTAGCAGTCTTGTATTTACTGATAAATTACTTATATTACTTTTATTTACTGATGACACCAACTATCCTCCTCGTTACTCTCCAATAACTTTCCTTCTCAGATGGACCTTTTCTACTCTCTTCCAGTGGCTGAAATAGGACACCTTCTCTGCCCCAGAATTTATCTTTCTTGTTTCTCTTGCAATGTAGTTTCCTAGCCTCAGCCTCCTGTCTCCAGACTTAACAAAGTTTGGTCTTGAAGAACACAGAGTCCTTCTCTCTTGACTTACTCATTTCATTTATTTATTCAGAAAATGTTTATTGAGCATCTACTATGTGTGAGTCACGCTTTCTCATAACGGAGTTTCTGATTAAGTACCCTAATTTCCTTCAAGTCAGAGTAGATGCAAAGGACACCTAGTACCGTTTGGTTACTTAATATCATTAGACTAAAAGGAAGCAGAACTCTCTGGAGAAATAACTGATTCCAGGGTGGGTCAAGGGAAAGTACAAGATGAACATGAACATCTTATGCCAGAAAGCTAGGGAGTGCTGAAAAAATGGTGGGACATGTCAAGGACCCACATAGTTTGAAAGGGCTTCCAGTCACCAAATTTGAGATAATTTGACCAGTAAAAAAGGTGGTCATAGTAGTGGGTTATAACCCATCGAATAATACATACATACACATAAATCATAGTTATCATTGATTCAGGCAGGAGTCATCAGTGAATGCTAAAACGACTAGCAGGTGAAAGTTTGATGAGGAACAGGACATTTAAATAGTCTCAGAGTTTCCTTTCACAAATTACTAATTACAATGGAAAAAATAGTAACTTTACAGTGTCAGGACCTGGTGTTTATCACCTTAACCAAGTATTTGATGTTAACATCACCAGTAATAGGACACATTAACATTATTTGTCTCTTGGCGTCATGCACTGAGAAGAACATAACATCCCCTAAGAATTATGCCTGTCAAAATGCGTTGCCTCAATGTAATTATGAAGGAACATCTGTGATAAACCCAAGCTGAGGGCATTCTATCAAGTAACTGGCCTATGCCTTTAAAAAATGTCAGTATCCTAAAAGACAAAGGCTGAAGAACTGTTTCAGATTAAAGAAGACTGAAAAGGTATGACAATAAATGTAACATATGATCCTGGATTGGATCCTGGCCTGAGGGGGACGGTGGTAAAATTGCTATGAAGGATATTACCAAAACCTTTGAATAAAGTTCATAGATTAGATGATGATGGTGTGTCAATGTTAAATTTCCTGATTTGGATCATTGCATTATGATTAGTAAGATAATCATTCTTAGAAATTATACATTGACATTTAGAGCTGAAGAGACATGATGGCTGCAGTTTACTGCAGGAAAAAAACATGTAAGTATATAGAAAGTATCATCAAGAAAACGTGGCACAGTGTTAACAATTGGGGAACCTTGCAACTTTTTTTTTTAAGCTTTTAATTGAGAGAGATAAAGGGAGAGCAGGGGGAGGGGCAAAGGAAAAGGGAGAGTGGGAGAATCCTCAAGCAGACTCCTCACTGAGCACGGAGCCCAGCTCTAGCTCGATCCCAGGACCCTGAAATCGTTGCCTGAGCTGAAATCAAGAGTCAGACAGTTAACCAACTGAGCCACACAGGTGCCCGAATCTTGCAACTTTTAAGATTGAAATGATTTTTTTATTTTTATTTTTTAAAGATTTTATTTGACTGAGAGAGAGAGAGAGACTCAGTGAGAGAGGGAACACAAGTAGGGCGAGTGGGAGAGGGAGAAGCAGGCTTCCTGCAGAGCAGTGAGCCCAGTGTGGGGCTCAATCCCAGGACCCTGGGATCATGACCCTAGCTGAAGGCAGATCCCCAACGAGTGAGCCACCCAGGCGCCCCTGAAATGATTAAAAAAAAAAAAATTTTTTTTTTTTTTAATCTGGCTGACTCAGTCCTTGGAGCGTGCGACTCTTGACGTTAGGGTCATGAGTTTGAGGCCCACATTGAGCATAGAGATTACTCAAACTCTTAAAAAAAATAAAAAAATAGAGGAGGGCACCCTGTGGTGGCCTGGAGGGAACAAAGAGCACCAAAACATTTCTAGAAAGTAAGCATATCTGTCCTGTTCTGGTCATTTGGAGTTATATAAGGGTAAATAAGCTCTTCTTTAACAATATGGAAAACTCCATAGTGAGTTTCTTAATTTTATCAACTACTAGTCAGTGGCTTTCAACTTTGCTTACACATTGGAATCACCCAAGGAAATGTAAAACAATACTAATGTTCAGGTCCCTCCACCTGAGATACCCTGATTTCACTGGTATGGGATATGGCCTGGGTGTGCAGAGTTTTTAAAGTTCCCCACATTCTGTAATGTGTAGCCAAGATTGAGAACCATTGCTAGCCACTAGCAGTGCTTAGTAGGTTTGATTAGGGGGAGAAGGAAAAAAGATGGTGTCTAATAATAATAATAAAGTTGTATGTATGAGATAACGTGTCTCACTTTGTGCCCTCCTTGGCTCCCATCCAGCTTCTTTGTCTTTATTGTTTACACTTTACAAAAACATTAACCCTGCTTGTCATTCATTTTCAGCTTTTTTTTCTGACTCTCTGAAATGGTATTTATTTCTTCTGTTAACATTTTGTGTGCTTTGATGACCAAGATACTGTCTGTATTGACATAAAAAGATGTCATTTAAAAACTCCCCTAACTTGGGGCACCTGGATGGCTCAGTTGGTTAAGTGTCTGACTCTTGGTTTCGGCTCAGGTCATGATCTCAGGGTCGTGCGATTGAGCCCCGAGTCAGGCTCCACCCTCAGCGGGGAGTCTGCTTGAGATTTTCTCCCTCTTCCTCCCTCTCTCCCTCTCCTTCTCCCTCTAAAATAAATAAATAAATCTTTAATTAAAAATAAAGAAAGAAAGAAACCTCATCTAACACTTCAAACCTCCTCTTGTAATGAATCCTGGTAACCTTTTTTAATTCAGGGATTTGTAAAAGTTTAAGACCTACAGATTGACTCATGGCTGGGTAAATACCACATTTTAAAAAACGGATAGACTGTGTTCCTTTTCCTTCCTGCAACACCCACCAGAACTGCCGCTGGAACATATTCTTTAAGTTTATGCTAGAATTGGAATAGTTTCAGTTACATCCTGTTTTGATTCTTCAGCTCCTGCTGCTATTCACAGTTCAGACTTTTGAAACCCTGCTGCTTGTCCTTTACTGTTCCTCGAAGTAAATGATGGGAACCCTAAGAGCTGGATTTGGCAGCAGAGGACTTGGTGGAGAGAAGAATGACTCTAAAGGGGCCAGCTTTTCTGGTTGTGCTATTTTTGCAGTTGTTGATTAAATAAAACCGATTTTTGTAACTTTAATTGGTTTGTCTTGCTGGCACTGGATATTGACGTAAGAACCTTTTTTAGTGTTCATCTTCTGTGTTTCTTACCACTTTCATCCTTCCCATCTGAAGGCTTTAGTAGATCACATAGTTTGCTATCCCCACTGTTTCTATACTGGTGAATGAGGTCTGGTTTTATGAACATCAAGCACAGTCATAAGCATGGTGGAAAATGAGGCAGTATTGTGGAAGAGCTTAAGGGTAGAGGTGGAAGGTTGAACTGGGAGTAGCCAACTTTTTCATGGGCTTAGTGGTGTATTTTCTTTCTTCTTTTAAAACCGGTTGAGGATTATTACCTTCTTTTTTTATCAGCTCCAGCTTTCTGAAGATAGGTGAACCTGATCCTTAAAATAGTGATGACAGCCCTGGCATTTCACAGTGGCAGGGCCTGAGCACTCATTCAAGATTGTGCCTTTAGAAATGACTCTGGTTTGTACCATTCTTGAAGCTTCAAGATTACCGTTTACATTAGATCGATTGAATAGGATGGGACCTTGAAGCCCTTCAGCTTCTTAAAGTGCTAATTAGAGCAGGGATTCTCAGCCCTGGTTGTGCATTAGAATCACTTGGAGGAACTTTAAAAATATGAATGTAAGAGTTCTCCTTGACATGCTGATTTATTTGGTCCAGAGTAGAGCCTGAGTGTTATTATTTCTGAATACCTCCCAGGTAATATTAGTGTGTGGCCAAGGTTGGAAACCTCTGGATTCAACAGTCAGGAGACACAGTTCTAAGAGCAGCTCTGTCAGTAATTCACTCTGTGATCTTTGAGCCTCAGTTCTTTATCGGTAAAGTTGAGAGTGGGTGAACGAGCTGATATATGGCATCTCTTTGGTTTGAAAACAGATTTGTGAACCTGTTTTGTGCCTACATTTATTTTTTCCTTGGAACCTTGAAATTCTGATGGAAGATCATCATCACTCAGATGCCATTCTCCCCTATTATAGTAAGATATTGTGAGATTTGTTTTTTTTCCCCACTCCTACACTTCCTAAGATCTGGATTTCATCTTCTTCTCTGGCCGTAACCTCAAAGGTGGTATCGTTATCAATGGGTCAATTAATATTCTATAGATTTGAATAGTACCTGTCCTATAATTTTTAAATTCTCTTCTTCAGTTGCTGTCCTGCCTCTGGTCAATGGTCATGTTATTTAGTACAGAGTGTAGTATTCTGTTCTAGTTTTCTGGTTCTGGGATCTCACCAATTTGCTCTCTTCTTTTGTAGGAGAAATCTTTGAATTAAAGGCTGAACTCAACAATGAAAAGAAAGAAAAGAGGAAGGAGGCTGTGAAGAAAGTGATTGCTGCCATGACTGTGGGGAAGGACGTTAG